CGTTTATGTCAGAGAGACCTATCATCCGATTCGACAAAGAGTGCTTCAGTAGAAAATTGCCTGCAAATACGTTTGGGTTCAAAAATCAGAGCTTGCAGTTCGAATGGCAGAAACGGGACACTAGATTGAATGGTCTCAAACTTGTCGTTTTGCTGATTATGGTATGTTTAAAGCTAAACGTAAAATTATAGAAGCCATCGAAATAAACCGAATATAAAATACAGAGAATGTAAGAAATACCGGTGAGTAAAAATTACTTGAGCCGCCTGCAAAAAGGAGGCGACGCAACTAGTCTTTTCGTGTCTTGCTTCTAATCATAGTCACTTCTCTTTACTTTTAGCTGACTATTTCTCTCTCGCATAGGGATCAAAAACAAAAAAAGGCTCATCCACAAAACCAGATGTGTGTCCAACCTTGCGCAATCGGAGTGATGGTTATAACATGTATGTAGAAAGGGGGAGATAGTGGTCATCAAATTGTAATGGCCGAGAACAGACGTTACTTTTGCTGTCCTAATTACTTTGAGCCATCATTGCGGGTTTCGTACATAAGCGAACACAAACAGACACATATGCATACAGAGACAGAAACACTCACAGGCTTCGCGGTTGACATATGACTATTAACCAAATCACTTTATACCTGATAAAAGAGGCCAGATATTGAGTATATATACCACTTTTTAGATATTTGCTTAAGAGTTTTCTTGACTCGTTAGCTTGAATTTAGTTATGATGATGATAACTTGCTCTGATGATGTTCGTTATATGACGGACGAAAGCTTAACACCTTTTCACCGAAATGGAAAGGAGCTTACATCTGAAACAACGACACCATGAATGTTCCAGTAAAGCCAATCGAAAACCGTCGTCTTCTGGTGGAATTGACTTTCGAATCTCTTCACCAAGCACTCAACAATTATAAAACAAGATATTCCTCAACATAACTACGACAAAAATTAACATAAACAAAATGCAAAATTACAACAAATCTTAGTAAAACTCTTAAATTCACCTCAAAAGGATCCAAATTTCGGCTTCAATGAATTTAGATTGAGTATCGCAATAGAGATGTGAATGTGTATTCGTTTAAAGAAGTCCTTGGTAAACAGTTCAGCAATCCCAATAAAGCTACGCAGGGCTTACTTAAGTTGTGCTGCAGACATCGCTGAGGCATAATGTGATCAATTGAGAAAATCCACCAAAACACAAGGCAAATGTAGCCAGCTGAAGTCCTACTAATAATTACTTTTGCTCTTACTTAGGGCCCTTAAGAATTAGTGGACTATTGCATGTTTTTCTTTTAATAAACGATGATTTCTAATTATGATGACGTGTCATAAGAAAATTCAGCAAGGAATTATTGTAGTCACAGGACGACATAATAAGGAAAGTTGTTTATTTAGAGCAGGTATTCAAGACTACCAGTATATTATATGAGAAGTATTAGCCCCATTTCGTAAAAGTGATAAATGACTGGTAGTCGAATTTTCCCCCTATGTTATAAGTAGACACTACATTTCCAGTAAATTAGACATAGCTTTGCTTATCTAAATGAAAAAAAACCTTAACGAAATAAGGTAAATATATCTCATATATATGTTCAACTGGGGGTCTCGAAAATTAATTTATGGACGAATGATACCGTAGTCTATTGTTATGGCAAATATAACTTTGCTTCATCCGAAATCCCACCATAGTTAAGATACCTGGCCTTACTTGAAATCCACACCTTTCATGTGACCCAAGGGCACTGGAGCAGTGTGGCGGATTGGTCAACATGCCGAGATTTTGCGTTGCCTTATCAGGGTTCGAGTCCCGCCGGGAGTGCTGATAAGACTTTGGTAAGGCCGAAATTGGAGTCCACCCTGGATGAAAATACCTTTTGGGAGGCAAGGCTATGTTAAATTTAATGTTAACGTAAGAACTACTCACACCATTGTAGGAAAATACAACTACTAGTCCTTCATCACTTTAACGAAATAAGGTAAATATATCTCATATATAATTTAACAAAATTTGAGTAAATTCAGTCACAGAGCCAAAGCAATTATACATCCGTTCCCAATGATGCAAAGTTAAACCCTCTTCAACCCAGCTTTTCAGACTAAATGAAGAGTACAACAATAAGAATGAAAAAAAGCCAGCATATTCCATTCTCATAAACTCTAAAAAAAGGTTATGGGAGCCAAAGTTAAAAGATAATAGAAATACATACAGCGATAATACGAGCGCTTCGACCAATAATCGACTTTTCACGACGCGCCCCGCCGCGACCGCCTCGACCAAAGCCGCCACCACCTCCAGAGAATCGAGAACCCACAAGCGGACCAAGTTGCGTGATAGTCTGTGGGCCAGGAACAGCAAAGCCACCAGTATCCGAGGGAAGAGAGTTTTGGGCTGGACGAGAACAAAAGGCAGATGAATAAAATGGGAAGGACAAAAAAAAAGTACTAATAAAGTGTCGATTCCTAAAATTAAAAAATTAGATCCAAGTCCCTAATCGTGATGATCAAAAATTGTAAAGGTGTTCTTAGGCCTTTCGAACCCAGGTATAAGCATTCCACCTAGGCAAACCCTATATTCAATGGTAAATAGGCGATCCGTTATGGCTCTCCAAATGTCTTATGAATGACCTATTTAATATAATATGCTATATAAAAACGGAAAAAATGTTTAAGTATAGTGATAAAAATAAATAGAGAAATAATCACGAATAAACGAAAATGCGTATATATATAAATAGTATATTAAATATAATATGATAATATAATATAATAAATAGATAATGCATATATATATATATGTCATAAAACCGTCGGAATTGGCTAACCCGAAACACCTAGAACGGCTAGCTGACGTGTCTTTACGGCGACCATTCCTGAGTTTTCTAGCTGATTAGGACAATAGACGAAGGCCCAGGATCGGTAGAGATGCTTCACCTCTCCCGTAAGCCCAGAGTGCGGTTTCTCCAACAATCTAACAGTCTGTTTGAGTGTGATTAAGTTACCATTACGATCCATTGCTTGAGGTGGCGCACGGCGACCCATATTGAGACGGCGAAGTGCCGTATTCGCCTTAATACTCATAAGCTGCGATGAGGATAAGTTGGAGGACGAAATAGAGACAAGGATATAGTAGGAGTAATAAGGGATGGCGGTGCCGTTTAGGTAAAATGTGTGCAAGAAGTAGCGCGAATTACTTTAACAGATATATTATTAATGCCAAAAATGATCTGCTAGAAATTAATGAATACCAACTCAAAAGATATTCCCAAATTATGATAATATAGTAACAATAGGACAATAATTAGGGCTCTTCAAATACTTATTCTTACAGCAAGCCTATTTAAATCAAGTAGAACTATCATATTTTGGCATCTACACGCAAGAAACTTTGGCAGAAGAAAGTCATAGACTTAGTATCAAGGGGAGAATAGCGAAATATGTGGTGGAGACCATTGATGGTTAGCTACTAGTGGATAAGTTTAATCATAGATATCGTCCATGAAGTAAGATTTACTCGGTGCACACGCCGCACAATGACAAGGGAAGCTACAGTGTCAAGTTAGATTGCCAGGCCAATTGAGAACCTAGCCATTGGAGACCTGCTGAGGGCAGCTGACGTATATGTGCTAGCAAAGGCTTGCGGCAGAAGCAAGTACATGACTCCTTGAGTAGCATAGATACGGTGGCAGCAATGGAGTGAAATCGATTAAACAAGCAGATTAAGGAAGGATCATACGGAGCAAGAGGGAGAGACTTTGGTCGGACGCGAAAGAGGAGGATTGCGAATTAAATCGAAGCCTTGGATGAACTTTCCCGGGGAATGTGAATAGGTTTCAAATAGGTTTAGATAAACAAGACACTGTGATATTAAAAGGAAAAGTGAATAGCCCAGTACGAAAGGAGAGATACCACAACCATTTAGCAGACAAGTCGTCATAGGATTGATGTCACATGTCTCTTTGACGAATCGTAGCGTGAGGTTAGGAATGGCAAGGCTGACTGACGATGCTGGCGAAGCGTCATGGAATATACCAAGTCCACGGCCCAATTCTGGAATTTATCATTCATACTATGGACTCAGGACAATTTGCGTTCCTCTAGGTCTTTCTGCCAATATGAATAAGTTGCGATAACCATTGTTCTTTATCGTTAAGCAAGGGTGTTATAATTAAAGCTAAATTCTTGCCTAAATAAGTTTACCTAATATACTTCTAGCAATAAGCATGTACTTTATTCTTAGATAATAAAAAAAGGTTAAGAACGCAGTTTTAAATAGTATTTTGAAGGTAAAAATTCAAAATAAAAAGTATGGCTACTTATACAACGAACCTTTCCAAACGCTGTGAGCACCATTATTTGATCCTTATTGACACGCGTCACTACACCAACAGTCTGAGGATCAACCTGCACCAGGTCCATAAGCTGTACATGCCCAACAGCCTCAGAACAAGATGTGGCTGTGTCCTGCCAGAGGCGGAGATCTTTCGGGGCAACTTTGAGTTCAGACATACCCTGGTCGGAGAGCACAATGGCCAAACTAGGCTCAAAACGAATCACTAAGCCTGTCTCACCTTCGTAGCGACCAGATAATACCTGAAAGGGAAAATATTTGGCAGTAATTAGTGTGATAATCAATTGTGACACTGCATCCAAATATATATAGACTTGGAGAACAAAGCAGAAGGAATACGTGGAGTAACAGAAATAAAAATTAATAGAAATAAAGATCAGACCCCTTAGTACCAGGATGGATAAATTTTAGTTTAATTAAGGTTGATATTCATATTACTCCTAAATTTTAACGACGCTTATAAAACGAAAACGAAATATTTAAACCATAGCAGTACCATTGTTAGTAGCCAAAAGATTAAAGACTATATAGTAATTTTTATAACAGTAGTGCTCCAGCCGTTTAGGAAACCGTCAGAGTTACTCGGGAAGACATTAATTTTGTTCAGCATTTTTAATGACCTCTAATATCAGAAAATAACGATTTGCTAAGAAAAAGGGTCGTTGTAAGGATTTGTCTAAGTTTGAGCTGATACTATAACAATTTATTATACCCGAACAAGTTTGATATAACTCTTAGAAATTTTGATTTACCCTGTCAAGCAATCACCGGGCCCAATGTAGAATATACCCATTAGTTATTTTAATTGGGTAAATAATTGTGCCTTTTATTATCAATCTAGTTGATAAATACAGTATGTCGATAATAAGGCGTAGAATAAACCAACAGTGGAGGCAGGATTATGTATATGGACTCAATAGCTTCGGCTAGCTACCGTGATTCGGTAAAGGAGCTTCCCTAAGTGCAACAACAAATCCATTCAATTAGCATATGAGAAAGGACATCGATATAAAATATCCTGTTAAAGAAAAAAATTGATTGGATAATCCAAGCTCAATTTTAGGTAAACAACGTAGGTGAGATAACAGTTTGCAGTAACTAATCGTGTGTTACCGTTCTATAAAAATTGAGGCCAAAACAGTTAAAATTTCAATTTTCTGTACGATATAAAGGGCTGTTTCCATAATCTAAAATACCATTACCTACCGAAAATGGCAAAGGAAAATTCTCCTTGCCCAGTGTAACTAAAAATGTCCAAGTAGTAAACAGATGGAAGCTTTCTTAGTAAAATATCACTTGAGTGAAATACCT